ATCTATAAATACTTATTGTTGTTTATTTGAATTAATTTATAGAGGGTTTCGCTTGGATTGAAAATCGACAAAGAGCTCTAATAGATAAGCAACTAAACAATGAATGGATAACAAAATGAAAGGAACACCACAATCGATACTCATTTATATTTAGATATTTATATATATATATATATAGGTCTATCTGTATATGCATATATATATATATATATATATATGTACTGTATATGATAGTATATGTTACTATATATACATATATATATATATATATATATATGTTTAACAATTACAATTACAAAAAATACACGACACGACATTAAATGTGGCTACGCAGACCTTAAGAGGGGGCGGAGCAGGTGTGAGGAAACAACAGCAATGACAATAATTACAATAATTATAATAATAATAATAATAATAATAATCATAATCATAATAATTAGCATAACTCATATGTGAGAGTTATCGTGCACAGTGCTCAGCAGCAAAGATAAAAGTTTTGCATAATTTATGCCTGTTCTTTTTAGCTTTTTTTTAAATACATTTAGATGTAGAGATGTACATATGTGTGTGTGTGTGTTAGAGGGGGCGTGTGTGTACGTTTATTATGATATATGCATATCGTAAATGTTTCGACTTAAAGAACTAAAAAACATCATTATCAGCAGCATTTATCTAATCTGCATCATCATCGTCATCATCATTATCATCATCATCATCATCATCATCATCATCATTAGCATTAGCATTAGCGTTATCTTTATCTTTATCATTACCAATTTCATTTTACATACACATAGCTTTCGTTTGCTTGACTTTATGCTGACAGGAATTGTAATAGTTGAACAATTTTCCCGTCTAATAAGAAATTGCATTAGGCATTTACTTAATATAATTATTTTTCATCTTTCTTTTTTTTTGTTCCTTTTTTTGTTTATAAATTCATAACTTAGTAATTTCTTAGGACACTTTTGCGAAACACAACAGCCAGAAGCAACTCTTGCGTACTTCTCAAGTTATATATAAAATATTTTATATATTAGTTATAGCAGATATATATATATATTTATATATATATATATATATATATATATATATATGTTTGTGTGTGCTTTAAGTGCTTTGTTTTAGGCCAGAATGTGTACTAAGGCAACGCGTGCCGTTTAGAAGTTCTCCATTTTATCAGATTCCATAAATGTAATTATATATATATCTGTATATATAGTATATAGATTATTACAGTAGTTAATTGTAATAAGGACGACGGCATTTTAGGAATTGCATTATTATTATTATTTTGTTATGCACAAAAGCAATTTGTTATTAATTATGCTCCTCAATGTACGCTACAAGCATTGCTATAGCTATATATATATGTATCAAATATAAGTATACCTATATATTTATATTAATATGTATATAAATACATAAATATACATATATATATATAATATAGACACGTGTGTGTGTGTGTGTGTATGTATGTGTGTGTTTACTTATTGTTTCATAATTTAGTGCTGCTGCTTGACTTGGTTCAATTGCCTTGGCCTGGCTCTGTTTCGTTTGCTTTGCTGTGCTTTTGGTTGTTGATTGGTGAATTGTTGTTAGCTTGATTGGATTGGATTGGATTGGATTGGATTGAATTGAATTGATTGATTGATTGGTTGATCGATTGATTGATTGATTAGTATCTGCTATTGTTGAACTGTGAATTGACCGCCGAGCTAACTGCCGATGAGGCCGCCTCCTGCACATGCTGGTTCCGCAAAAACTCTGTGGTAAACTCTGCCCTGGCCTTGTCCATGCTGGCCCCGGTGCTGCGATAGATAGTATGTATCTTCATGATCATCAGGATGTTGGCGCCAGCGGTGATTGTGAAACAGAAGGCGATTATCAAGAGCAACAGCCCAACAACAATGCCCCAGGCATTGCTCTGGAACTGTGAGATGGCCGTTATGAAGCCGCAATAGCCCAAATCTTTAAATCCAATTGCCTGGATGACTGTGTAGACCGTTTGAAAGAAATACACAAAGAAGAAGACCATAAAATTGAAGCTCGAATCGTTGCGGAACGCCTTATACGCGGGCCGAAACCTTCAAACACCAAACAGAGCGAAACAGCACAAAGCGAGAACGAGAGATGCAAGAGATACGGTTAGCGTTTCAGATAGAGCGCGATAGAGATATGTACATACCAGCAGACGTATGAGGCGGGCGTAAACAGCAGCGTATAGAAGATGGCCAAGAACAGGTTGGACAATATGCCTGAGTGGAACAACAAGATGAGACCTCCGAGAATATTGGCGACCAGCGTCATAGTGTAAACTGCAAAGATTTACTACAATTAATCGATGTTCATAGTTATATGATAATTGCCCTAAGAGAAGATAGCCTGAGTGAGTGGAGCCAAAAATTCTTGCTGAAAATATCGCCTGGTAAGTGATTGACAGACTGGGAGACAGACTAGCAGCACTGATTGAATGAGGTTATCTAAAGCTCTGACTAACTATTGACAAAGTAGAAGAGAAACGAACAACTGATTGATTGACTGACTATAAGAGACCCTAACAGATTAGTTGACTGATTGACCAAGTGTAAGACAGAACATCACACGGACTGATAGATTGAGTGATTGACAATACAAAAGACAGACAAACACGTTAAATATACAGCCAACAATCCAGTCAGATTGTTAGTCTGTCTTTTAGCTCATTAATAAGCCTGATTGCTTATCTTCTACACAGTTGTAAACATATAATATAAATATATTTATGTGTATATATATATAATATGCACATTAAGAAGATCGCTTCGCATATAACAAATGTTTCTCTTATCTCGTGCTCTTTGAATCTCAGAGATCATAATTGAAAAGTCCTTTACATATAAATGGATAAGCTTGTTTGGCTAGTGATACGATCAAAGCTAACGACTTTTGTTCAGTTATTCATATACAGATATGGTAGAGGTATTTTTAAGGCTCTTTGTTTGGCATTCATATGGGGCCCGTAGCTGTAGCTGTGGCTGTAGTTAAGCTTTCGCGGTCTAATAATCGACATTTATTAGCTGATGGCATGACTAATGCGATTCGGCTCTTATCAGACTTGGGGTGTCTCAATTAAAAACAATAAAAGCGTCGATAATAAACGCAATGCTTACAAATCCAGATGTAGTACAAATGCTTGACAAGTTTTTGAAATTCGGGCGGTATTTCGACCTCTATGTCCTGGTAGAAGCACGCCTTGACGCAAAAGTTATCCGGCAGGGGTGGCCAATTATTAAGCTGTGGCACATTGCCCTGGAGCTGCTGTTCACGGCGATCTAGTTCGGCAGCCTTGCGATCAAGTTCTTCCTGGCGGCGCTGTAAATTGAGAAGACAATCAGCTAACTGTAACGAGGGCTATCTATGAGTGTGCGTGTGTCTACTGTATGAAACACACACAGACAGACACACGCAGAGCTGAGCACAGCTGCAGCCACAGCAATGCAGCAACAATAACAATAATTGTTGTAATGCGAGTCGCCTGGTAACTGGCACACGCGACTAGCTAAAATTCATTTGCATTTAACCTGCAGCTCCTCGGATGTGATTTGTATACTGGTGCTGGGAACTGAGCCGGTAGCCAGACGTGGCTGCGGTGCCGGAATGTTCTGTGAGAGGGGCTGCACGACGGCCGCCGTATTGGTGGAGTTGATTTGCAGCTGTGGCTTCGCCTGCTCCTCGAATGGATTGTAGTCCTCGAGTGATACATTGGTGGACATGCGCGTCGCCTGCTGTATGGCGGGATCCTAAGTCAACAACAAACAAAAAATGTGTATAAAAAAAACGAAAAATACACATCAAAGAAACTGCTGTGCACAGCGTAGGCGGAACACATTCACACAAGCGCGCACACACTCATATATAGACATTGGCCTATGAGCTGTCGTCGTTGCACCTACACACACGTATACAAATATGTGCGCCTGTGTGTGTGAGTGTGGTTTTCGTGAACAGCATTTTTGTTGTCAGGCTTACCGCAAATGGGTTATCCAGATTGGGCTCACCAAATGGATTTTCATCGAAACCGTTGCCGGACATTTTGTCGTTGTGTTTGCTGCTAGTGTTATTGTTGATGATGTTGTGCTAAATTGTGAGCACACAGTTTTTGCGAATTTTTCGCCTGGTCTTTTGGTTTCTTTTCTTTTTTTTTTTTTGCTTTTGAGTGACGATTTTACGGAATTCGATGTGACCAGTTGCGCGATTTCGAGTGTGAGCTGTAATGGTTATTAGTGTGTGACCGCATGCGGCAAGTGGTTGAATACATGACAGTATTTAATATACCAAAAACTGCAAAGCTATCGATTAATTGTATATCGATATACTACAGGAACTAACCAACACAGAATTTGCAGTCGAACTGCCAGACTCGATTATTATCGATATATTCAACAAACAAAAACCAAATTCAAATATCATATAACGTAAGAAACTTTTATTAATTAAAAGTACAGCTTAACACGTGCACAAGCATTTCATGTACTTGGAAGACAAAATAACGCTTAGCAGCGCATTTGTAAAGTTATACTCATTATATTCATATACATATACAAAAAAGTTGATGCTTACACAATATTATTATCATTATTATTGTAATTATTACACATAATTATAAGCTACATGTACGTTACATGCTACAATAAATTAAATCTTTATTGTTCTGTCTATATAGATTTGCTGTAAGTACTTTTCTTATTACATTTTCCATTATTTTTCACTTAATTTTTTGCTCTTGATTCTTTGCGAAATTTACGCACCAAATACTTTCGACGCATGTTGACTGAAGACCCACGATTTCTATACAAAACATATAGAAGCTACAAACTAAATTTATGTAAATAATATTTAAAAAAAAAAGACTGTAAATATGTTAATTTGAATTGCATTACACGCATATATATATATATATATATATATATATATATATATATATATATATATATATATATGTGCATATGCGTATATAGCTTTCGATAGCAAAAAAAAGATCAGAGCATTTTCCGCCATTCCAATTCGAACCAAAATTTCTCTAGCTCCGGTCTCTTCTCTTTTTGTGATCCCAAAACGTTTCAAATGTTTTATTTAAGTTTTCAAGCTTTTGTTTTTTTTTTTGCATGTTGTTTTTGTTTCTGCTTTCATTCGCATATTCGTTGTGCATTTCGTTTGCCAATTTAATAATTGTAGGGTCCGTATTGGGAGCCATGGTAGTAGGGACCCGGATAGATCTGCGGCTGGGCGTAATTGGCGTAGGGCGGATAGGGTGGCTGCTTCTGCGAGTAAACTGGAATGGGAAAGGGCCGATTAGACTGGACTTTCACCTTCAGCTGCGAGCGCTGGCATCACTCACCTGGCATCAGATACTGCAGGTTAAGCTGCTCCTCCTTCTCGCGCTCGTTGCGCAGACAGATGGCGGCGCCGGACAGCAGAATGGCAGCCAGTAGGCAGGTGCCAATGCCTGTCCAGGCCACAATGTAGGACCAATCGTAGGCAATCTTTGTGTTATCGCGCAGCACCTGCAAGTCATAAATATTGAATTAAAAAATGTCCAACCAGTTGATGTGGAGCTCTGCACGCACCGTATTCCATTGCTGGAAGTAGTCCTCGCCCACGACTTTCTCCTTCTCGAAGAACTCGACCGTATGCCAGAGACCCATAGCTCCAGCGGCCAGCAAACAGGTGACCAGCAAAAGGATCGATGTGGCCGTTATAGCGCCCGACGAACGCTTCCAACAGCCGGATAGGCCCGTCCAGAACGCACAGAATATGGTCACAAAGCTAATGATGAACAGCGCAATGCAGGAGCGGGCCAAATGCAGCCTGGACGTAGCATCCTCATTCGATATCTTATCATCCTCTATTTGCGGAAAGTAATCGATGTTCGAGCAGTGCGTCTCAATGGGGGACAAATAGGTGGGCACTAATCGAAGTGGAAATGGAAATGGAACTCAGTTTAGCATTTGTCTCCAGCTTGGGTGGGCATTATTGATGAAGCTTACCTGCCGTTACCGGCGGACGCTCCTTGGGATAACATATTCTGAACAGGCCACGGGTTCTCGTATAATAATAATATTTCACATTCAAGTTATGCAGCAGCGACTCCGCATCCGAATGCTTGGCGGCAAAGGTCTGAAAAAGTAGAAGAAAAGGTTGAGCTTACATAGTCAAAATAAATTCTTAATTCGGATTACGCATGTTATAAGTATAGAGTATAAGTGCCAGTATAAGAAGTATAAGAGTATAAGAAATATAAGAGCCTTGGCTTTAATTTTCTTTATCTAACGTCAACAAAGCCCCATGTATCTCTAGAGTAAGATCTGTAGTCCAAGTTGCTTGCAATTGATCGATAACTTTATGCCAGAAATCGATAAGAAACGTTAGCAAACACATAGTTTTGTTCATATCTTTAGAGTAGAGTGGAGTGGCTGTTCGATGTATTTTTAAAGTACCTTGAATCTACAATGATCAAGAACAATTGATCAACGCTTCACATTTGAAATGTGGCTTTGATCGATAACAAAGCAAAGCCGAGCAAAGTCTTCATATGCAAATCAATGCCAGCCGCTTTGGAAGAACTGATAAACGGGTCTTCGAGCGACCGCTCCGAGAACCAGTTCCAGTGTGGGCGTTGTGAACAGAGCGCGGAATACGAATTACAAATTAAAGATTTCTTATGATTTGTCTAGCCCCATCTCAATAAGTTTTTATTGCTGCTATTGCTCGATCATCATCCGGTCATCTCTCGCCTCGACTCGAAATAATACGCGGATGTGCATAAATACATAAATACACACAGGTCTAGGTGTACGTATTCATATCGAGATCTGACAATGGGCGTTGAGCGAGCTGCGTGCGTTGTTGTTGTTGTTGTTGTTGTTGTTGTTGCTTATCAGATCGTGTTGCCGTTCAACACGTTCCGCAGTTCCCATACGTCATTTCAAGCGATTCATTGCGAATTGTGTAGCAAAAACTCTCGAGTCTTACAATTGAAGGTCTTCCATTGTCAATCCGACGGTTAGCACCGCTAATCATCAGTCGAGGCCAAACCAGAGCCAGTTGCAGATGGCTATAGCTCTACTGATAGATAAGCCCAAGAGACTGCCAGCAACTGAACTATACGAAAAAGTTACTACAAAATCGAAAATTAGCTCAAATGAACTCATTGGAACTATTCATATCAAATATTGTTCTTGCAACAAGTTCAACTAAGTATGGTTCCATTAACCTTCAAAGCTCCTACAAATGACAACTTAAGTTCCAGTCAAAGCAAGTTTCGAATCTGAAACTGAATTCACATAAGTATAGAACTAGTTCCGGCTGTGAACCAATCATAATTGGTAGTGATTTGTTCATAGAGTTCAAGTAGAACTACATCGTGGTAGACTTTTGAGTTATTTCTTTGTCTTACTTAGGTATTATAATGTTCCAACTGGTTCCGGCCTACAAATAAAACGAGTTCCGGCTGCGAACCAATCTTGATTGGTAATGATTTCTTCATAGAGTTATAGTAGATCTACATCGTGGTAGATTTTTGAACTGTTTCTCTTAAGTATTGTAATGTTCGAACTAGTTCCGGCTGTGAACCAATCGTAATTGGTAATGATTTCTTAATGAGGTTAGAAATGAACTTAATCGTGATTGACTTTTAGATTGTTTCTTGTCTTACTTAGGTATTATAATGTTCCAACTAGTTCCGGACTACAAATAAAACTAGTTCCGGCTGTGAACCAATCATGATTGGTAATGATTTCTTCATAGAGTTAGAGTAGAACTTCATCGTGGTATATTTTTGAGCTGTTTCTCTTAAGTATTGAATAATCGAACTAGTTCCGGCTGTGAACCAATCTTAATTGGTATTGATTTCTTCACAGAGTTAGAGAACAACTAAATCGTGCTTGATGTTTGAGGTGTCGTTTTGAGGGCAATTAGGGATAAGCCTAAGAATTGGTAATCCGCCGGGTTTTCCCCACTTTCGATGCGACCTTCGAGCTTTCCTCGACTTGCCTCTATTCGACTTGCCCACTTGGGCGTAACTGAACAATTAGCTTGGCTAGTTAGATGTGTCTATGTATGTGGCTATGCCCAATTGATGCTCTCGTTTGGCTGGAGTCCAAGCTCTGCGGCCTGGTGCACACCACTGATTTCTCGAGGCGTTTTACACCTGAATGGTTTTCTAATGCAAGCCCGTCCACGCCCACCGCCCCCCAATTTGAGCAAGCTCAGCTCGAATATAACATCAATTAAACGACTCCAAAAGCTGTGACAGTGGGGGCCTTGGGGGGTCTGGGCGGGGCCGACGGCGGCCCTTAATTGCCATACACTAGACTTTCATAAGAAAGTTACAAAATTAATCCGCTTGGGCGTGGAGCATGGGCCAAGGGGCAGGGGCACTGGGAGCAGAGGCCATGCGCCAATGCAAGACTCGAGCAGAGAGCAGAAAGCCAAACAACATTCAGCCGGGTCCGAACCAAGCGAAGCGAAAAGCGAAAAGCATTTCATAAGAGTTTTGGCCGGGCAGCACCTTCCCAGCTCCCAGCTCCCAGCACCCAGCTCCCAGTTGCCCCGTTGTCCAGTTCCCCATTCCCAGTTCCATTTTGTGGATTGTTGTTTATTTTTTCATTTCTTTTTTATTTCTTTTCATTTCGTGCTGTTGCGTAAGCGAAAAACACTTTTCACAAGCATCCACAAATTTACATAAGTCCAATTCTGCAGCTCGATATGGAGAGCACCCTTCCCCCCCCCCCCCCCCCCCCCCTCCTTCACTCTTTAGCTCTTTCTCTGCCTTGTCGATAAAAAATTTGTTAAGTTTTCTTTGGGGCCGTCGCATTGTTATTTAAGTACCGGACATCAGGTAAAACACGTTTGGATTTTTTTCTTTTTGGTAGCCAACAAAACGCTTTTCTCTTTTTTTGATGTGTGGAGCGAAGGGGCGGGGCTGCCTCCGCTTTGTGCTCAGCAATTTGGTATCCAAAAATGTAGAATTTGATGTGGCAAACGTGCGGAACGTGATGCCATTTCAAATTTTCGGCACATGTGTGTGTGTGTGTGTGTGAATGATTCAGGTACATCGGCCCTATATATGGCTCGTCTCGGTTGCGTCTAACAGCCAGCTACGTGTTCTCAAATGCGAAGCGTGCGATTAGCATGTGACACCTGACATGTCTGCCACTCGCATTACCTAAGAGCAGCCATTGAGCGGCTCAGCGCGCCGCTAAATGGACCCAATCGAGTTGCCAGCTAGCTGACATGTGAGCAATCTATATAGCTAATGCCTCAAGCTGATCTGTAAGCTGAGGATCCTGAACAAAGAACTTATCGAGCGCAGCTGATCTCCATGACAGCTGGAACCACTAGCCCTACAGTCTTATATTGCTACTCTAACTGATCAGTTCAACTGATCTGCTTGACAACAGTCTGCGATCAATAGCTCTAAGATAACTTGCTTGATCATCTAGGTCAGTGTGTAGCTTAAGAGTGATCTCTCTAATAGCTACTGCTTGTAAGCTGGCATATGATTAGATCTATCTATCTGAACTCTCGTTGCTTGATCACTGATCGAGAATAGTCGATCATTGCAGCTAAAACTTATACAGAAAACTGATCTGGTTATCACTTCAGCTCGTCGTATCTAGTTAAATGAAGTCGATGTGTTCTTAGCCTTTGATATGTGAACTGCAGCTACGATCACTCAGCTTTATGTTTGTTCCGTATAGAAACATTCTTGGATTTGCATTCTCAATGCAAATCGATAAGTAGACAAAAGTCGACCATGAAGCAAACAGCTTTGGCTTTAAAGCCAACTGGCCACACGCCAATTGCATATGGTTTGCCTAGCACATTTGAAATGCGATCAGCTTACAGCTTACAGCTTACAGCTTACGGCTTGTGCGCGATCAGGAAGCGAAACAAAAAACCCAGCCAGACTTGTTCCAGACACACGAGTGCAGTTCAGCTGCGTACTGTACGTGGAAAGAAAAAAGAGACCCTATCATGCACTTTTCTACCATTGCCAGCTGCCAGATGCCAGTTAGCAGTTGGCAGTTTCCAGTTTGTGGAGCATAGACAGATGGCGCCTGCTCCGCCTGACGCTTGGCGCTGGGCAGCTGCGGCCGTTGCACAGATATTAATAAGGCCCAACTATTTTTATGACTGAGCCAAACGAGTTTACTTAGCTGACCGCAACGCACCTGCGCCCCCCCCCCCCCCCCCCCCCCCCCCCTCTGCCGCTCAGCGTGCGGATGTTGATGATTAGCCAATCGTCAACCAAATCCCAGCTACGTGTGCAGGATGCCAAAGAGCTGCGGTGTTGCGGAGCTGGCCAAGGCCGCGATCGAGTTTACAAATATCTGCGCCAACGGAGGCGAGGAGCCAGACAGAAACCAAATAACTCAACGAAAAAAAAAACCGTCAAAATGCAGGCGACACATATTTTGGGTGCGGCAAATTAAATCACATCGCATACCAAACAGATGGGCATACTCGACTAGCTAGATACCTTGCAAAAAATGTGCCTAAGGCTTATCGGCCGATAACTAAAAGATGTCTTGTGAGAAGCAAAGTTTACATAGCTCTTTTAGTCTGTCAGATATAATCGATATTTATCGAAATCATGAAATTAGTTTGTGATATATGTATATTAAAGATTATATTCAAAGAAGACAGCAAGTTGAAGTTCGTTATTGATATATGAGCATTAGCTTTAATCGATATTTATCGATTTCATGGAAATACTTTGTGATATGTATTATGGCATATTATATTTTATCAAGACAGCACTATAGAAATTTCAGCTAGAGCAATTCGAAGATCGTTTGATGTATAAGATCATTAGGTATAATCGATATTTATCGATTTCATGGAAGTGTTTTAGCTAGAGTTTTCCTATGACCACTTGATATGTCACATTTATTTCTATTTCCAGTCCCTCATAGGCAACAACAACTGGAAAAGTCATATAGTTAAATAATATTCATCAACCCGAACAGAAATAGAGTTGCAAGTGTCTGTGTGAAGAGCTTTTCCTCCCGCACTGATAATGCATTTCTCACAATTACGCGAGTACAGGGTATAATTAGTTGGGCAAGCACAAAAAAAAAACAAAAGTTGCGACAATTTGTCGTAGTTTTTAT